GGCACACTTTTCAATGTGTAGCCTAATTCATATTTATTTTGTCAAGTTCATAGCCTTAAAAAACATAAATTCTAGAAACTTTCTAGGTAGACCCTATGTCTAGCACAAAGGACACAATAAATTCATCACACAGTATCTCATAGATGAGTAGAGTTACCTTATGGCTACAATCTGCATTATTAATACAAAGGCTATCTAATCCACAGACATGCCTTAATATCAATGCCAGCAGTCACTAGCTACAACTAATGGGAAATCCCAAGGTTCTGAGTAATAGGAGCAAAGGATAAGGAAAAAACAATCAAAGAGGAAACTAAAAGTGAAATTTAAGAGCAAAAACTTGGTCTATGCAAGAGATAGAAGAAAAATAGGAAAATATGATTAAACAGGCCAATGTAGTGCCACACACCTGTAATCCTAGCACTCGGGAGTCTGAGGCAGGAGGATCACAAGTTCAAGGTCAGCCTGGGCTACATAGTGAGTTCAAGGCCAACCTAATCTACCTAGGAAGACCCTGGCTCAAAAAATCAAACAAAGAATGATTAGAAAGTTGTTTGCCTTCAGAAAATATAAATTCATGGCTGGGGATGTAGCTCTGAGGTACAGCACTTGCCCAGCACCACACATACAAAAGAAAAAAAAAAGAAAGAAAAAGAACTGAAAATAAAAGAAAAACCGGGCCGGGGATTTAGCTCAGTGGTTTCAAGGACCCGAATTCAATCCCCGGTACCAAAAAAAAAAAAAAAAGAAAGAAAAACTAACTCATTCACTAAAAGTGATGGTGAACTTTTTAGAGCTTTCAATGATACAAACAGCCCACTGTGGTTCATGTTCGCCACCACTAACCTAGAGCAATTCTTGTCACATATTTCTTTTCTATGAAATGGAATCTTGGGTTTTAACAGCTTGCTCTCCTAGCTGAAGAGTGTCTTTGTTAACTCAGTGCATATCTCCATGACCCAGTCCTACCTTCCTCGGTCAGACATTTTTATTGTTCACTGCTATACTCCCAGTGCCTAATAAAGCAACCAAAACAAACTATCAAATGAGTAACAACTTTATGAGAGGGATATTATTCCCCTTCTGGTTCTACATATGGGGAAACTAGCAGGTCCCAAGATGAAGTAACTTGCCTAGGGGTTACAAACCCCTAGCCAGAAACAAACCCATGTCTAACCATAAAGTCCTTATTTGTTCTCTACTCCTACAGAACTGAGTAACTTCTTCATGTCTCGTACCTCTGTACCTTTACTGGTGGCAGCTCTCTCAAGGCAAGGCTCAATTCAAGCACTAACTCCTCCATCAATCTTTTCCTGAGCATTCTCAACCTCAGATTCCCATTATGGACCACTGTAGATCTCTCTCCCTCCATTATGCTGTGCCCTCTCCAGACTTCTATTATTACAGCACTTAGTCCTTCACTTTGCTTTCTTATCTCTTTTTCCCTTATCTCAACTCTAAACTCCTGAGGGCAGGAATCAGGTATCTTCAAGTGTCTCTGGTTCAAAAAGAGAGTAGAAATTCACAGTGCACAGGACAAGCCCCTAAAAAAGAATGATTTGGTCCCAAATCTGAGTATTGCAAAAATTTTCCTTCTTAGATTCAAAGCTGCAGCTCCTCTCCTTTATGCATGGAGGATCTGTGAATTTCCTTGGAAAGTAATTGCTGTGGTAGGAGGAAGGAGCCACAGAAAATACCACAAATTAATGCTCTCTTTAAAGGGTCCTGTTTTTACCCACCCTCACTCAGTATATTCCCTTACACTGATACGGTCATACTATTTTGCCAAACTATCTATAAGTGCTCTACTTTTCATCAATCTTCATATGTGGATATCTGCACTGTCCCTAGTTGATTATAACATTCTTTGGCCAGAATGCTTGCCTTGGACAGAAGCTAAAAAAAAAAAAAGTTCACTAACTGGCATTTCTCCTTGGAGGGGAAAGGAGGGGAGGGGAGGGGAGAGGAGAGAAGAGAAGAGGAAAGAAAGATGAGCTAGGCGTGGTGGCACACATCTGTAATCCTAACCTAGGAGGCTGAGGCAGGAGGAAACACTAGAAGGTGGAGGCCAGCTTGGGTCACACAGTAAGTTCAAGGCCACCCTGGACTACATAGCAAGACTGTTTCAAAAAAAAAAAAGTTGAATAAATGTTTGACGAATGAATGAAAAATGTCTATCTTCCCCTAAGAGTTGAATGTTTGATGTATATGAACGAATGAAAAAAGCTCTACAAACCTTGAGATAAAAAAGAACCCTCTTAGTTCCCTAACCTGAGACACAGCTTTCCTTGGCACAGGGTTGGCAAGAGCATGCCTGAAATTCCCTGCCCACACCACAAAAAGAGCATCACTGTGCCATTTTAAGGAAAGCTTCTCAAGTTTTTGGATGTCAAAAAGAACAATATAGCTTGGAAACTTTTTTTTTTTGGAACGGGGATCGAACTCAGGACCTTGTGCTTGAGGCAGGCAGCGGAACTACTGAGCTAAATCCCCTGCCCCTTAGCTTGGAAACTTTTGATCACTAAGAATAAAGTATCTTTTAGTTTTATTTTTTTTTAAATTTTTTGAGACAGAATCTCACTATGTTGTCCAGGCCTTATGTTGTCCAGGCTGGCCTTGAATTCCTGGGCTCGAGTGATTCTCTTGTTTCAGCCTCCCACATAGTGGGGATGACAGGCATGGGCTAAACTCTTTAAAAAGTGCCCTTCTGGACGGGGCACCAGCTGTCAATTTTAAATAATGCTTGGTTCATTAAATTACCATTTTCTGTGATTTTGTGTATTTTGAACAATTTTACTTTTTATACCCCTTGGCTTAAAAACACAATAGCATAAATCCACAAACTTTTTCACCACTCCTACAAAAACTGCTTGTTGTATACAAAATGAGAAAATAAAGTAGAAACTATGTGTTAGGTAAAAAGGTATTTGATAAATGTTATTATCCTATTTATAAACCCTTAAAAAAGCACATTGGCCTATTTTAAACTAATGAATACTAGGAAGCATTTACTAGATAATTCTTTATTTCACTGGTATGAATACTGGGTTCAAACTCTAGCTAAACAAAAAAAGGTTTTTATTTTTTCAACACAGTATAAAAGGTTGAACTGTCTACCCATCACTAGAGTCCTACATAAATTGTATGAAATTCAGTATTCTAGCTTGAAGAATTTGTAACCAAATGCTTGGCTAGACCACTTTCAAGGTACATGTTTAGAGTAACAATTTTTTTATACACGCACCTAAGTCACAATCTGCAATTTCATTTCTTTTTTTTTGGTGACAGGGACTCGATAGGTAGTTCAGGGTGGTATTGAACTCACTATGTAGTCCAGGCTGGCCTTGAACTCAAGGTGATCTTCCTGCCTCAGTTTCCCAGGTGCTGGGATTACAAGCATGTGCCACTACACAGAGGCTTAATTCAATCCCTTTTATTAACAATAATTTGCAAGCAGTGTCTAGTTGCACCTATAAATAGCCCATAAGTAAGATTTATAAATGGGATAATGTGAAGGTGGGACACTGGAACTTCACAACTGGAGCATATGAAATCATTTCCTTGAAAATTTCCAAATATTCACAAGCAGGTTTATTAAAAGAAAAAGTGAAAATATTTTGCAAGTTACACATCTGGCTTCAGTCTGATGACTGTCCCCTCACCCCACCCCACCCCAGCCCTTCCCTCCTGTTCTTCCTGTGCCAGGAATCCCTCCTGACTCATGTCTGTCCATCTTTGTCCATTCCTTCCTTGGAGACCTGTCTCAAGATTCAGCTTCTTGAAAAAGTGTTCCCTGACCAATCCCATTTCTACCAACTACTTCCTAACTGCATTCCCATAGCACTTATATAGTGCGCAATACACAATAATATAGGTCATGTTTTTCCTTTGTGGAAGTTATTTTGCATTTTTCTATCATTTCCCCAACTAGAGACCAACTAGGGACAGCACCTTTTATATTCTCTTCTATACAGCCCCCAACAAATGCTTCTGCAATGACTGAATCACCAGTGACAGCAAGCTGATCGCTTAAAAAATTGTTAAGTAACCAACTGACTTTTCATTTTCAAAACTCTATCACCTCCAGAGGCCGGGGATTTAGCTCAGTGGTTTAGCCACCTGCTGCGTAAGCGCAAAGGCCCGAGTTCCATCCCCGGTACCAAAAACAAAACAAAACTATCACCTCCAACATGCAGGAGTCTTTGGAGATAGAATTTAATTTTTTCTTAGCCCCATAAATTCATCATAAAAGAACCAGGACACAGATCACCTATATACTTAAAATAATCCTGGCTATTCAAACCCATCTTGTGATGTATCATTCACATTTCTTATAAAAAGCCTGCTAGTCTTGAAGCAGCAAGCCTGTGAGTAGTAGAGGAAGCTGGCATCAGTCTCTTGCAAAAGGGGCAAAACTCTAGTTGGTAGTAAATGTTCAAACACGTGAGCCTCCACTGTTAAACAAGGCTCATTAACCACACAAACTTGCTGTTTCAGCTCTCTGGCTTCAATGAAGTGCTATGATCTCCTTTGGTTATCGTTGAGAGCCAATGATGGGTTAAATTCCCATAAATTTACCAATGCTTTGGTGGTTTGCCCAAGCATACCCCTGGCATTGAAGTGGATGGATTTTTTTTTTTTTTAAATAGATGCGCCCGCCCAGGGAGCCAGAAGTGAGTAAAGAAAGCTCCAACCTGGCACTTCTCAGCAAGCAAAGGAGACCTAGAGAGCTCGGAGCCTCCCCCTAGTTCTTAGTGTCAGCTTATCATGCAGAGGGGGAGCATCACATGCGTCTACTTTTGGCTAAATCTCAACTCAGTCATCCTTAGGAAGAATGCCCAACTTTTCCTGCAAGGAGCATCAGTTTTTCCATACGCAGAGCCCCAGGAAAGGGGGTTGGGAACCGGCTCGCCCCGCAGAGAGGGGGTAGCAGAGACAAAGTGCGCGCCGGGAGCCCAGGCCGCGGCCGCCCGCCCGCTCGCCCGTGGGGCTCAGCTCACCCTCCAGCAGCACCTCCTTGCCCGCGCGCTTCAGGGCTTGCACGGCCTGGTCGTGGGTGGCCTGGCGCAGGTCCGTGCCATTCACCGACAGGATGGCGTCGCCTAGCCGCAGAGCCCGGCTCTGGTCGGCTGCCAGCCCCGGGAAGATCTTGGAGATGAGGATCGGCATCCGGTTCTCGCGGCCGCCCTTGATGCTGATGCCCAGGCCGCCCGCCTCCTGTTTCACTACTAGCACCCGGCGCACCGGCGGCGACGCGCCCGCCTCACCCGTGGAGCCCCGCGGCGGCACGGGGGGACTCGGGGGCCCCAGGCCTCGGCTCGGGCTCCCAGGCAGCGAGTCGCCGGCACCGCCGCCGTTCGGGAGGCCGTTGAAGGTGGCCGCCGCCGGCCCCAGGGCGGGCTCGGGTTCAGCCGCCGCGGCGTCGCCCGTCAGCGTCAAGCTCTCCCCGCTCAGCTCCGCTACCACTCGGACCCAGCGCTCCCTCAGGAGCAGCTCCACCAGCCCCGCTTTGGTGGCCCGCGTCCACACCGCCATGGCCGGCCCCGCTCCCGCCGCTGCAGTCGCCGCAGCTACCCTCATTCCAGTCAGACAGCCTCGGCGCTTCCCCCTTCCCGCCCGAGGGGGCGGGCCCAGTCCCCCCCCGTAACTTATTATTCATGAGGGCCACGCCCACCTTCCGGAGGGGCCGGGAGGGGCCGGCACAGCCGCTTCCGGGAGGTGAAGTTGTCTGGTCTCTCGCAGCTCACTGGACTTGGGCAGCTCGGCGGGGCTCCAATTTAACATTCTCTGTCCTCTGGTCCCCTACGGCTCCCCAAACTCCTGACATATACCATGGGCACGGGAAGCAAAAGCAATATAGAAACATACTTCGTAAGCCTGCAGGACTGAGTGGCATTGATTGGTTCATTCCGTCCATATTGAGCGTCCAGCCACATGCTGGGCTCCTTTTGAGGCCCTGGAGATAAGCTGCATAAAATATACCAAAGCCGAGAACTTGTGGCCTCTGGGACAGGAAAACAGAAAACCAACCAATTAGGTGTGATACTCCGTAGTTAAGAGACTGTAGAAAACACCCCCTGAAAAAGACCATTTCGTTGGCCCTGGGGTCAGCTGCACAGAGGACAGTGGAGGGAGGAATAGCTCAAGCACAGGGCACAGCATGAACAAAGGTCCAGGGGCATGAATCCAACTTTGTCAATCTGCCTTGTAACCACCTGTTTACTTGCCTATAATTAGAGACAACCCATCTTAAGCTTTCCATCCGCAAGAGGCAGACCTCAAAGATACTTGCAGAATGATGCTGTTTTAGTGTTGAGAACCAGAGGAACCAATGGTATAATTCTAAAACTGAAAGAGAAGGTTGTGAACGATGATGTCATTCCTGGTGGGATCAAGAATCCTGGGATCAGGATCCCATCAAAGCCCGAGGACAGAAGAGGGATCTCCCAGCTTATGCAGAGTGAACTGCCCATTCCTCTGCCTTTCTGTTCTATTCCAGCCCTAAACTGACTGGATGATGCCTGCCCATGTTGGAGAGGCCAATCTTTACTCAGTCTACCATGCAAACGCTCATCTTTCTAGATACAGCCACTCAGACACACCCAAAGATATTTTACCAGCTATCTAAGCATCTCTTGGCCTAGTCAACACAAAATCCACCATCCTAGATACTTAGGAAAATGCCAGAATTCCAATGTGAACAGAACAGGATCAGTGGAAATGGCAGGATATGAGTGTGAAAAGCTTCATATAATCAATATTAAAGAGTTAGGACTTGACTTTGTAAGACCTGACTTTCTTAGCCTGGAGGCCATCCCCTTTTGTTGAGGCATATATAACATGGCCAGAAATTGCGTGCAAAATTTGGTCTTTAAGATTTTTTTGAAGTTCATGATTTTTACCCAATTCAGAAAGATCCCATGACCAAAGGCCATAGAGCCACTGCTGTACACACTAGAGACTGCTATGATTTTTATTCAAAGACATGAGTGATGTAATCCACAGCTTTTCCCAGCATTCGAGATAGAGGAACTGAGGACCAGAGAGCCAAAGACTGGCTCCAAGTCCATAGTGAAGAAGAGAGATTTAGCTCTCTTAGCCTCCTGGTCCAGTGCTCTGTTTACTATATATACCAGGCCGACCTCAAAAATGAGGGTCCAGAAACCACACTGCTGAGAAGGCAAGCTCTCAGCAAAACCATGAGGTTGCGGTGCCCTCTAACTTTCCTTCAGCAGTAAAAGCAAAATCTTCATTTCATTTGGGCAAGGCCAGGGGCAAGCAGGAATGTGCACCAATTCCTGTAAAAGAGGCTCTTCTTCACTTGGTTGCTCAGGAAGTAAACGTTGAGGCTCAAAAGCCATAGCCACACAAGCCACTCTGACAGCATATTCATGTGAAGGCACACACTTCCAAAAAGGCTCCTGTATCAAGGGTTAAAACAGTAAAAATAAGGGCTGGGGATTTAGCTCAGTGGCACTGTGCCTTCCTGGCTTGCAAGCACAAGGTCCTGAGTTTGAGCCCTAGCACCGAAAAAAAAATAAAAATAAAAATAAAAATAAAAATAGAGGCTGAGAGGCATCCAGAACACAAATGAATTCAAAATGAGAAAAATACACCAGAAAAAAAAAATCGTTATAGCAGAATCTTCTTTGCAATTAGAACAGGATTTTCCAAGCTGCAAAAAAGTTAGCAAAAGCTCAACCCTCCATCTCTCTCCTAAATCAACTGCAGTGAGGGCTGCTTGCTGTCCCAGCAGGTCCCAATGTGCCCAAGTGCACCTGCAGTCACACACATTTCTGGCTTTGTTCCAGCTGAGGTGTGAGTCCCCAGAGGCCTGAGTTATGTGAAATTTTTGGTTGTTAGCATTTGGCAGCTGATTCCTTGGAGTATGAGCAGTATTTTTTAACATGTTTGCATATGTTATCACCCAGAGTTTGGGCACTCGAGGACACCTTTATTAATAAAAGGAAGGTCCTAGAAATTCTTTCCATGGACTTTTCTGTCAATAGAGTTGGAGGAAGTCACAGATTTAACTAATACTGAGGGCACTTACATAAGATAGCAAATTAGAGCCAGGGATTTAGCTCAGTGGCACTGTGCCTGCCTGCCTCGAAAGCACAAGGTCCTGAGTTTGATCCCCAGTACCAGAAAAAAAAAAAAGGTAAATTATATAACAAAATATTTAACCCCAAGAGCAGGGAAGGTAGTAGACTGTTAGTACGTATTTAGGAGTGTTTCCTTTATAAATTATTTATTAAAATACCCATAAAAGGGCCAGGGATTTAGCTCAGTGGTTTCGCGGCAAGCGCAAGGACCCAAGTTTGATCCCCAGTACCCAAAAAAATATATATCCATAAAAAAAATCCCCAAACTATCAAGCTGTATTTACATAAGCTCCCTTCAGAATCCAAATGAACTTTTCACCATTTTTTTTGGTATGGGATCAAACTCAGGACTTTGCACTTGTGAGGCAGGAGTGGTGCCACTGAGCTAAATCCCAGGCCCTCATCATTGTTTTTTCACTTTCAGATAAGCCAAATTCACCTAATCAGTGTCTCTCAATGGTGCCTCTATATTCCCATCTAAGTTCTTCCAAATACCTCCTGTCCCCTTTAACCACTTTCCCCCCAGTAAAATCTCATCCCAGTTTTCCCTGATTATCTACAGTATTTCACTGAGATTTTTCCTTGGAACAATTTAATTCTATGCCTGGCTGGTTTGCCAAAGTAGATTATAAACTACAGGAGGACAGGCACCACCTATCGAATTATTTTTATTCCCCACTATTCCAAAGATATTACCTTGCAGAGAAGGAACTCATTAAATACATGACTGACCGAATTAAATGTTTCCTGTCCTATAGTCTTTTAAAATAATCTTTCTGAAAGTTATTGGTTGTTCCTTGCAGGGTGAAAATTACCATCTAAGAAATCTCAAGTAGTCAATAGAAATCTACTTACTATGGATAATGAAATCTGAATTAAAAAGAGTGCACATCTGTTTGCATGGCTTAAGGACAGTGAGGGAAGCTTAGATAATTCTTTGAAGAGGCATGTTATCTACCCCTAAAAAAGGAAATGGCTGAGATAATTCCAAATAACCTTTCATTTCTGTCACCCATTTTCTCTGCTCAAGCTGTTATCTTACTATTTCTCAGAACAGGCAGAGATTGTTGCCACTTTAAAATGAGAGGGTAGTATTAGTTCTCTGGGTTCTATAATTTCATCCTACAATTCTATGACTCAGGGTCTGATTCTATGCTATTTTTTTTTGGTACCGGGGATAGAACTTGAGTCCTTGCGCTTGCACAGCAGGTGGCGAAACCACTGAGCTAAATCCCCGGCCCCGATTCTATGCTCTCTTGAAACCCAGTGGTCTTTTTTTCTTCCCTCTTTCTCTTCTTCATAGTAGTTGCACAGTATACCGTGATAATTAAAAATGCAAGGTTCAAATTCTGGTTTGGTCATTTACCAGCTATATAATGATCAAGGCGGGGCTGAGGTCCTCAGACCTTTTAGAAAAATTTAGATACTTTCTGCTTCTAAGGGGGTTGTGAAGATTGAATGGGATGATGTATATGAAGTACCTGTCACAGGGCAAGAGTTCTGTAAGAAGTACCAGTGTTATTATCCATTGACCTTCAGCAACAGGAACAATAAAACCTTTTGGTAGAGATTCTCCAGCTGAGATTTTATACTTTACTAGGAATGAGTCTGGCATAATACCATTTGATTCCAGTCATAAAGGGCAAATGGCCAAATTAATTTCAGTGACAAACATCTTATATAAAGTTACACTTTGGCTGAAAGGCAACATATATGGCCAAGAGTCCATCAAAGAAAAGAATTAGTGGATCTAGGGCTGCTTCCAAGGTTTCAGTGTTGTGTAATTTTATAAGGAAGGAGGGCCCCAAGCAAAAGTGCAGCCCTTAGCAAGCCTGAAGGTCACTGCCACAAAGGTGGCCTGATGCCAGAGGAACAAAAGCAGAAGTTGCTCAATTACTAATGAAGAAGCCAAAGGGAGAAATAAACTTGTAAAATAACCAATCCAACATGCTTGCCAAGTAGAAGAAAGTGACATGAGCTGTCTCTTTTAATAGACAGTACTACTTTGCTTTCTGGGAAAAATATCCTACAATATTACGTCCCCTCAACACAAACACATTGTAAGAGGAAGAAAGGTGCATATATGTTTTAGCTGATGTAAGCACATTTTTAAATTCATCTCACCAAGATAAATCATTATCCATCTGAACCCGCAAAAATGGATTAACTATCTCATGTAGTATGACTATGAAAACCCACATCTGCTAACCACATTCCTAATGGGAAGCAGCTGGTGAAGGTTTTGTGGAGCTGTGATTTTCTTTTTAGGAAAATATTAGCAAGGACGTACTGAGTAGTTTAGTTTTCACTGAATCCACTAGTTATGGAAAATCACCAGTCCTTTTTATTGACAATTATGGAAATTACATAATTTGTCATGAAATTCAAATAGTCTAAAAAATCCACTTTCCCCCATCACCAGTTGTAACCAAATTTTCAGTGCTTCACAACTTCGTAATCTTAAGAGTCCGCTTCTACTCCTATTTTTCATATACCAGTGAACACCAAGACATATTTATTTGACACCTGTGGTACTTCTAGGATTTAGGCCACAGCTTTAATTCCCTCGTGAGTCAGTTAGTACAACAGCTATGGTGTGTGTGTGTATCATGAAGCCCCTTAGGTGCATGAGGATATGCCTCAGACACACACACTTGAGCACTAC